ATAAAGTGAAGTTGTAAAAAGTGAAGATGTAGATGACAAAACTAATTCATAAAAATACGACGGAAAATATAGGAATATGCCTATCTGCATTAATAATATACTTTAATATTTTTTCTTCAATATCTCGCACCTTCGAATTGCCATGATAAACTAGTAAACTACTTTAATAACTGCCAGCTCTACAAACCTAATTCATATAATCTAATATTGAGTAACTTTATGCAGCAAATAGGCAAAAACTATTATTATTAAAAGAACGATTATTTGAATCTACGATATTAAATGCAATTTATTAATCATTGAACCATTTCCTGTTTAAAAAGAACGGAATTAATCATCATTTCAATCTACATTTCATACAATTAAATTTATTTAGAACAAATATGAGAATTATTGATGATGCAAATGCTGAGATTAGTAAATACAGTACCATTAGAGGTCAAAGGTCATGATTGTTTTGAAAAATAGAGCATGTTGTTCATAGTGTATTAATAACTTAAAAAGAAAAGGGATCGATGAGAGTGCTCAGCGATGATGTAGTAAATAATGCGCAATAAGTGTCAGATTCAACGTCCCGTTGCCATAGATTTTATTTTTTGCTGTTTATACACAAAGCTGAGGTCCTTACGAATTAGTTCATACTTGTACAGAACTTTATGTAGAGTTAAGTTTATTTAATAGCGCCTCATAGGAAAAAAAAAATTAAATACTAAAAATTCCTCAAAAATGACTCTGTCGCCTTCTAAAATAACAAATGAATAATTATCCAATTAGGGTTAGGAAAAATTTGAAAATTTGAATTCCCAACGCAATCTGCATTCCTAACCCTAACCCATGATTGACTAATTACTGATTTTTTTATTTTGAGCGGTGACGAGGGTGTTTTTTTGGCTGGGGCTTTGTACAAATCATCCCTCAATAAATTGAAACAGCAAATTACTAAAATTGAAGAATCTACAAATAAACTTAAAGTCAACCAGTGAAGTATGCTATCACCGATAACCTGCCAATATGTTGAAAAACTACTCATCACCAGTAAATGAAACCTTCCAAACATACAATTTCTGATTCAAAGCACTGATTTTCCCAGCATTACCTAGTAATTATGGGATCACCAAACCATGTTGAATGTTCATTTAATCATAACATCGTATCAAAGTCAGTGGAGCATAAACCATTGAAAATCATAGCATGACTGTTGCCACATTTGTATTAGCTGATAATTAAATTATTCATTATTTGTTGTGTTATATTATTACATCAATTACTTGGTTATCAACTACTCATTAACCATCAAATATAAAAATTCAAAATTTGAAATTTTGAAAATTAATTGTTTTCATAAGTTACATTTATGTTCGTATATTAATAATAATAATATTAATAAATTCATTCAAAAACTTGCCATTTTCAACAAAAAATTGGAAAGAAATTTTGTAAAAGCATTGTTACTAGACATGGCATATAATTGAAAAAATAACAAAATAATATGGGAGAATCTAAAATAGTAGCACAATTTCAAACAAAAATGTGGCTGTTTCATAGCAATCTGAATTATTAATAATAAATGTAAATTAATGAATTCGACTTATTCAAATACTATTCAATAAATTATCATTGTACATTAGTTGCAGCAATTATTCCCAATATCCAGTAATGAATGTTATTGTTAAGTTTTAAATTCAAGATTGTAGGATAAAGATGCTGATAAATGTCATTGTCATAAATGTAATGACGCTTTGATTTTGAGGTGGAACAATCAACAATGGCCATCTCAGATAATATAGTAAATGCGATTTAGATGCTGGCTCAGATATGATATATCCTATTTATTAACTGTACCAGTTAATTTTTCACATAAAAGAGAGGTTTTTGGATGGTTTTCGTGCCTTACACCAATTTTCAATTAATATTAACATTTTACATTTAGGTTGGAAGACCATACCACCTTAGTTAGAAACTGTAATTTAGCGATATCTCTTACTCACTGGCTGGTATGAATTATTTAATTACTGTAAAATCACAGTACATTCACTGCTTTTTTGTGCATAGGTAATCTCTAGCAATCTACTTTTGAACTTTTGAAACAGACACCCAACTTCATTATTAATTCATTAGCATAATGACCAAACAAAAGCATCAAGAGCCATCTGATACTTGTTAATAGAAATACAATTGTTTTCAAAAATCAATAACTCAACCATTTGCCACTATCAATTATTGAAAGCTCACAGAATGTAGACAAATATACGAATGTTCTCAGAAATTACAATGTCCAATGTTAGTTGTTGCTGATCCAAAGACTCGCATACGATCCCATAGTCCAGGGGTCGGGAAACTTTTCGGTCCAGAGAACCATAAGGGGTACATATTTTCAATTGCATTTTCGAGCGAGCCATATTGCATTTCTTTCTCAATAAGGCTCACATGCATCACAAGTTAAAATATACGTTACTCCTCACCCTTCTTTAGTTTAGGCATCTTCGTAGTATTTTACTAGCTAGCTTTGCTAGTACGATCTAAATATGACAAATACTGTAACCAGCACGTACAAATGTACGAAAAGCTATTGCTGAAATCTCGTAACAATAGTAATCTTAGCCTTAGAATATTAGATTTCTCTGGGAGCCACATGCCGTCACCAAATGAGCCAAATACGGCTCGCAAGCCATGGGTTCCCGACCCCTGCCATAGTTCATTACGCCCACTCATTCATTGTTATAAACCGTAAATACATATTTCATTATGTATAACATTGTTATTATGTTCATGCCTCTTTATAGGTACTTCTAAATTACTTTGTGCATTGATTTTGCATGATGAAATAAATATCTGTATCTGAATTTCATAAAAGGAGATTCCTAAATCTACCTGTTATAACTTAAACAATTTAATTTGAACTTGAATGTCTATTCTTGCTGTTCCAACACAAACAGTCACATCACGGAGAAACCTACTGCAAACATGGAAGATTAATCTCACGATTTCAAAAACTCACAGAATTAAATCAGTGAATGTTCAAATATGAAATTAAATTGTCCAATTTAATTAAGTTTGTATACGATTGCGAAACCTCTGTCACAAGCCATCATTACTGCAATGCAGACTCAACCACAACACCTTCTGTATTCTATGTTAGACAATAATTCCCTCAAGATTGAAAAGGCTATTGGTATATAAAAAGCAAAGTAAAAAACAAATTAATAACAAAGATCTTTCAGACTAACCAGACTGGTAGTCAATAAGACAATAAGATTCTCACAAAATGCCTAATTTAAGATGATAGTGTAAAATTTGGAGTATCATATCATTCACATATATCATGATTTAACTGTAACATTGTTCGGTGCTGCCGAAGTATGCGAACCAAGATGGCGGACATCGGAACGTAACATGGGTAACAGGTTAGGGTTAGGTGATAATTTTTTTCCAATTTTACTTATTTTAGACCTATTATCAGTTCGAAGACTAGCCAAGAGCCTCCCGTAGTATTTATGCCTAAAATGATGGCCTAACCCTAACCTAGTACACATATTACATTCCGATGTCCGCCATCTTGGTTCGCATACTTCGGGAGCCCCCATTGTTCTATATAGAATAAAAACGATAACCCTCTCATCATTTGAATATGCACACCCTTAGTACCATCCTAATTCTTGACATCAAGGCCAGAACTTTTAACCGAACAATTTCCTCCTAAACTGAAGTTCAACTACAAAATGCCAGGAAATAAATGTGTATGGATGTAATCACGGCATTTTCTCTCATAAATTGCTCAATATAGGAAATAATAACCTTCAAGTTGTCTGAGAAACATTCGGAAACAAATAAAGTGAAAGATCTGCCCTTTTGTGCAAACAGTACAGTCATACTATCAATTTTGACGCAGGGTTTTGTAGTTAAAAGAAACCCCAAACCAACTATTTCTACTTATTCGACACCTCAAAACCAAACAGTGCTAAGTCCACTTTTCCAAAAAATGACATTTTTCAATTGCTGATTTTCCTGGACTTGGCTCTACATTTTGGTCTATTTGCCTTATCTCTAGGTGCTCTAGATCTCAAGACAGCTATGGACATAACCCTGCTTTTTTAGGGCATTTGAGAACTAAACAGAGCTGTGTCTACTATAGTAGACTTAGCTCTGGATAACTGCATTGTAAGTTGGGGCTAAGTCCGTTTTTTGGACACAGCTCCTCTCAAAAAATATAATACAAAGCGCTAAGTCCATACCAGCCTCTATAATAACATAATAAAGGGGCCCTAAGTCCAATAAAATTGTTTCTGGTCCAGAAAATTAAGAGCCAAAAGGGTTGAGTCCAAAAAAAAAAAACCCCAAAAAATTAGGGAGGAGCACAAATTTTTTTATACCATCTAAATATGGCCTTCATTGTAACTTTGGTGGACCATAAAAACTAGACATCCTCGATGTAAGGTATTAGAGAAATAAAAAAAAACGTTTTTTGCGTTTTTCTCAAAACTAGAAAAATGGACTTAGCCCAATTTGGATTTCATGCGTCGATATGATTGGATTGCTTTATAGACTCCAACCAAATAGAAAAAATTATCTTGAATAACAAAATCGCTAGATTTTTAGATATTCCTCGACTATCTTCTCGTATCGTTTATCAAGTGGAACTATTTTGTTTTCTGTATTGCATTCCACAAACAGACATGAAATAGTTTTATTCAATCCCAAGCACCAATATTAAACAGATGGGAAGCATACATGCGAAAGTGCGGGATCTCTATTATGTCTCTTGTTACAACATCTTTGCGGTCAGCATATACTAATCTACAACACAAAAGCTGATAAAAACAAGCTGGAGTTAGGTATATTCTACTTCAATAAACCACAGATTATAAAGTGTGGGATCTCCCTTATGTATCTTGCTACAACATCTTTGCAGTCAGCCTCTACCAATACAACAATATAAAAGCAAAGAAAAATGAGCTGGAGTTCTACTTCAAGCAACTACATGTTTCAGATTATAAACTCACCATATTTATTGTCAGAGTCTTCGTCATTTTGTCCACTGCAGCAGGATCCCATATCTTTTTATTGTTCAATCGAAGAGTTAATTTTCTCTTGGTTTTTCAAGTAATATTTCTTCGCAAAAAGGCACGACAAAATTTCCAACGCCCTGATGGTAAAGGAGTTTTTGATGATTTGAGTATTTTTTTGATTATTTTTGAGATAAGAATCAATTGTTCGAACTCTGGGGAAGATGTTTAAGTGCTCCTGAAAGATTTTTTCAGTTTGTTGTGGAACCAAATATATTCTTTTATTGTTTGTGGTATTTATCTAGAAAAAGCTGAAAATATAAGACAAAGGTTTTAAAGCATAATAAAAAATAACATGACCGAATTAGGAGCTAGGCATTGATACATAACAAATCAAAATAATTCATCGCCGTAGTTTCTCATTTTTTTGTTTTTGAGGTTGAGTTGAAGCCAAATTGTTTTCTTGAAAACCTCTTTCAAGAAGACTCTTTTACTGTCTTCTCAAGACTCCGGATTGTCGCTCTCTTGAAGCTACCAAATGAAAACATGTAGATATTAAATTACTACCAGACTTCTTTACTTGCTGCTGATACTGTGATAAGGACATAACATAAGCATTGCTCAGGGCGCATGTTCACTAAACGTAGAAAGTTCTTCTATTTAGCGTGGCTAACTATTTTTGCATATGTTATTCCTAACTCCCACTGGGCTCCGTCATTCAAAGATTATGTCACTATGACATCACAATCATGTCAAATAAGTTGCCAAAGTATAGCTATAATCGCCTGAAATGGCATCTTCGCCATCGATAACGAACTTTCTAACGCCAGCGATCTCTCTCATATCGGGACCGTTACGACAAGAAAACAAGATAAATAGCTTGCTCAATTTCGGGTGATCGTCTACGCGTCTTGGATGACAGTTAGTATAGTTTGGGGCCCCAATTACGTTACTGTGATGTCGTAGTAACATAATTTTTGAATGACGTAGTCGGGTTAAGGAATAACATACGCAAAAATGGTTGTGTCACGCCAACTCTGCAACTATAAGTACTTACGTCATGTTGTGAACATGGCCCTTGCTCAGCATGAAATTAACTTTATGGACTCGACCTTTACAAGTAAAAACACAGTAATTTATTAAATAATTCATTTCAAAATCGATGGGAGTAAAAAATTTAACAGCCACATACAAATAGTGGACTAAACCCCAATCCTGCAGAATTCCATAACTCCATAATTTTTAGTTGGTCAAGTTCCAGTTGGTCAACGAAATGCATAGGTACCGGTACCGATACATTTATTCACCAAACCTATCAACTATAGAATAATCCTGTAATCCAACAAACTGTCACTACCCTGAATGTAACAATTATCTCCAAAATATTTTCCACATCGAGGGCCCTCAACCCACTACAAATCGGTATTAGTCACATGTACTGTCACAAATACGGATCACTCATTTATAAAGGGCCCTATGATAACAACATTACGGACGTCATTACAATAGAGCAGATCACCAATTTTGTATTTTTAGCAGAAATCTTAACTGTATGTCACTGTTCACAGCGTTTTAACACGAAAATACTTAAAATTTCGTCCAAGGGTTAGTTTTTGATAAATACTGAATTACTTCACTTCTCGCTGGTGACAACTTGCGGCAGAATATTTTTTATAATTGTTTTCCTGCAACACGACTGCTCGAAAGGCATTTTTAAATGTTCGATATTGAATCAATATAACACCAATTTCCATTAGCCGTAGTATTCAAAACTGCGAACTCCTATAAAGATCCCCGACTTTTACCTTCATTAGAAAATCGTCAAGATTAAGACTGTTAGGACGATATACAAATATATATATCAGCCGCATGGGAATGTACTACGTACAGAAAGTTGTTAAATCTTTATTTTATGGGAAAATTGAGTACCTAATACCTATAGATAGCATTACTCGATATAGCTATCGTTTGTTCGAGATGACGTAAGGTAGAAGTTCCAATCCAACCCCAAAAGCTCGAATTCTAACTCCCGTTACCCGGTTATAATTTGTCGTGGGACTTCCATAGGGTTTTGTTTTTTATCAATTCTAAAACAACATCGTGTTTTAAAACAAGGACTCACTTTAAATCAGTTTTTTCCGTATTTTTCATTGAAATACCCGAAACTACGCCGAAACGTTGCATTCTGGCAGCTGCACACGCAGCCGGAATTATAATTTCAAATATGTAAGTAAAAATTCTATTTTGACTTTTACTTCTATTGCGTATATTTATAGCTCACGAGCCTACTACAAAAGCCATTAGATCAAGGGCAGCCTTCGGCAAAACGAGTGGGTTGCATTCTGGCAGCTGCACACGCAGCCGGAATTATAATTTCAAAAATGTAAGTAAAAATTCTGGTGACCGTACATTTGAACCCATGTACATTTGAACCCATGCGTATATCCACGGGTTCAATCTATATGCGGGTGCTAAAATCCATGGATTAGGGTTAATATGGGTTTAACTATCCGTGAAACAAAAAAAATTCCATAGGTGCAATAGCATACAGGTGCAATTGTCATGGGTTCAAATGTACGTGGGTTCAAATGTAATGGAACCAAAAATTCTATTTTGACTTTCACTTCTATTGCGTATATTTATAGCTCACGAGCCTACTACAAAAGCCATTAGATCAAGGGCAGCCTTCGGCAAAACGAGTGGGTTGCGATAATGAAGAATAAGCTTACATCGGCGGAAATTTACTGATATAAACGATGAGACACCCTAGCCTAGCCTCTGCTAATTGTAAGATGCCTCTGGTGCAGAGACGCCACAACTAATCTGTTATGACGCGTATTATGGATTTCGAGTTCATGTATTGGCATTTTTCTCCTAAAATGAAGGCAAACTCATTTATTCGATCGCATTTCAATTTTCCCAAAGTAGTTTCGTCGCAGCAAGGTTTTGAGGGTAATGGCAATATTTATTGCAAATAAGAAGCGCTTGGCAAGTTTTTACATCCATTTTTCTTCAACATATTTCATACAAAAAAATCAAATAGTACAGCCATTTGGACCAAAAAACAGGCAAAAAAAAACTTGATTTAAAACATTTGTTTTAAAACAAGTCTGTTTGAACAAATCCCTAGACTGCCACACAGCGTTTATCATTTCATTCAAGCTTGCACTAATATTCACTATGGTCTTAGTACTTATTTAAAGGTTAATTATTATCATAATTCTTGCTAATTCGTGATTCAAAAAAATACTTGTAGTTGTATATCCATTGTTATTTATGAGTAAATAATGTGGCCCGTTGAAAGTATAAAACAGTAAACTTGATGATATATACAGTTATCATTTACCTTTGGCGCTCCAGAAGTGCGTGTACCAATATGGAGGTAACTAATTTTGTCCGCCTATTTTACATCAAGTTGTGTAAAGGAACTGAAACCTATGGTTTGGGGGTATTCACTTGGCTAACACAAACAGCCCCCCGCACTAAATTATGGCCTAGCCCTAACCTGGTACACATACTACAGAAAGTATCTAATCCATATTAAAGCGCGTTCCATTTTATTCACAAGTATCAATTCTCATGCAACGGCGGACATCGGAGTTTTTTTTATATTTTGGGCAGAACTGTGAATTCACATCGGCGACAGGTGTTAGAGCCTTTGTTAAACTAATAATGAGAGAATGCACAACACAAACTAATTTTGTCTGACTTTTATCTTTCGCGTAGGACTTGATCGTCTATTTCACACTTTGTAAAATACGATTCCAATTTCAAGCAAATAATATTATCATTACTGACCCCGGGATTTGATATTTATGAAACCTAAAGTTGACTTTATATGCTTTCATATCCCTATCGTGTCTGTGCTATTTTCGTATGAAATATTAATGAACAAAAACTCCGCAAATTCGTCATTACGTGAATACTCAGTGTTGCTTTGAGTTAAAATACTGATTAAATAAATCGACAATCATGGCATTCACGTGGTCAAAATAATTACCCGAAAATTTCATAGGATACATTATTATCTCTATCGGGTTTGACGTTTCTAATTTCAAAATGGTGTTGACACGCTTTATGCAAAATTCGAGTTGAAAAGATATGGTAGGCACGGAAAAAAAACGAAAAACTCCATAACGTATATTTCTCAGTATCATCGTTTCTGTCTGTATGTAAATTCTAGCGAATTGAAGCGATTGCTTTAGCGATTCGTAAGGTGCATATCTCAATTACTACGTAGGATAGGAGAACTTTCAGAACCAACTAAAACGTTTCAGATTCTAGCGGTGTTGCGTTGCGTTAATTAAGGTAATAACGCGCAAATAATATAGTTTTGGCAGCGAAAGCGTGATGCGCTCACCGTCAAACTATATTGTGGTTTGATCTAAACAAAATGTATAGAACGCCTTTATAGAACAGTTTTAAATGGGGGTTAAGCACCCCCCCCCCCTCGCTGTGCCCCTGGCTAGCGCGTAATTAAAATTTATTGGGCGAAAACAGGAGAAGAAATAATGATAAAAGTTCTTGATTGACCAACACTTCGTTCAAAGGTATATTTTATTTAAAGGACTCTATTTTTCATCATTTGGCAATTGCGTTTTTTGGAATGAAAAATAATTTGTGATACACATTTGCTTATTTTGACGAGACGTAATTAAAACAATTAATATTTTCAAAAACTACACGTAAACCAGTTCGTGCGCGTCAGCGCTCTCAAAATAAGCATACCGAATCCAAGAGTCTGGAAAACAGCCATTTATACAGCGCCATTTGCTTAGCGAGTGGTCTATTGCCTGAGAACCACAAGGAATGTTGCTTGATGTTGATCGTATGGCGCTTTCATAGTTTCCCACGAATCGCTATTTTGTTAACTTCGCAATCCCGAAGTTGATAGTTAGGCGCACTAACTTAGATAACTAATTTTTTCGATGATTTTCAACAGTTATACCTGCATTTTTTCCTAAATACTATCACCTTGCCCTCCCTACCAGTACCAATGTGCGTCGTTCGTGTTCATAATTTGAGGGTTGCTCTCTCGTTTATTTTGTTAAATAATGGGTTTTGCGTTGAATGGTGAAATATATCTTCTGAAATGACCAAATCCAAGTGAATATTATAAAAGCGACAGTTAGTGCTGTAAATCACTGATTAAAAGTCTACGGATGTGGGAAAAACATCCTTGATTAAAGCTAGACCAAGTAAACAAACAACCTACCAATAGTTAATTTAAATAGACATTCGCTAAAGACAAAGCAAATTCAGAAAGCTGAACCCTCCTTTGGCCAAAATCTTAAAACTCGAAAGGCGCCGCCAAAGGAGAACATGAAACAA